CTGGCACTTAGTAGGTACTCTGTAAAGTTTGTTTATTGAATGGAACAATTATCTTTTCATTTTTCTTTTTCAAAATGAATTCTTTTCTTTTTGCATATGAAAATAATACATGTTCATTATTGGGGTAAAATGACGATTCTGAAAAGAGAGAAAACAAATTGCCTTATATCCCATTATCCAGTGACAGCACTGTTATAATTTTGGTGCATATCCTTCCAGAAGGTTTTCAGTGTTCACATACACAAGCATATCACATACATATAAGTATGTATTTTGAAGTTAGATGATATTTATTTTATATCATGTTGCTATTATATCTTAAAACTACAATCTTTTCCAGGCCAAGATAATTCTAAATTTTTAGTAAAAGTTTTGAAAAAAGAAAAATTTCTAGAAAGCTAAAATTTCAGGATGTATACCGACTATAAAATATGCAGAGCCAAAAGCCAAATGCAATAGCAAAAGTAAGGGACATGGCTAAGGACAAATCATTCACAAGCCTTTCCTTAATTAAACTGAATAAAGTTAATATATAGGTAAGAGGCTTTTGTAAGGGTACACAACTTTAAAAGTTCCAGTAGTGTCTTTTTCTTCTATTTCCTCAATTTAAAGAAAAATTCTTTGGGATGTCTCTTAGTGTCTTTTTGAACGAATTTAATTTTCATCTTTTTTTTTCTTCCAACTGAGAAAAGGGGGAAAATAATTGAGCCTTTTCAAGCTCTGATTTGTTCTCTAAGTTCTCTTCAGTATTTTATTTTTCTTCGCAGGAGAAGAAATCACTGTAGAATTCAATCAAAATCACAGTGGCAAAAATTTTAAAGTTGTTTTGAGGATTTTCTGGGTCATATGGGCAAAACAAATTCCCAAATAGCAAATACTTCAGAAAGAAAAATCATACCACTGAAATATTTTTGTTCATCAAATTATGTATATTGGTATTAACCTAAAATTAAGTTAATAGAAGTAAAATTATTTATATGGATGCATTTAACTTTTACAGAAAACTTTTGAAAAATAAAAAGATTGTTATTATATTTATTTATTATATAAGCTCAAAAGAAAAAAGTCCTTATGAAAAATTGTGTCTAAAATACATTCAACTGACATAACAAATAAAAAAGTTCAAAAACCTATACATAAATGTATATATATATACACATAATATTAATTTAAAAAATATATGCACAGAAAAACATGGCAAGGGAAATACACCAAAATTTTAGCAGTAGTCCTTTCTTGGTAGTATTACTATAAGTGTTTTCTATCTTTTTCTTTGAACTTGATTGTGTTTTCCAAATTTTCTATAATGAAGATTTTTATAATATTAAAAATGGCACAAACATGTGTTGAGTACTGTTTTAAAGCCTTTTAATGAGAATAAGCTTATGAGATTCTGTGCTGTAGGGAAGTCATTATTGTCTTTATTTTAAAGGTGAGGAAATTGAGGATCATAGAAGTAAAATGATTTGGCTACAAGCAACCCAGCTAGCAAGTGACAGAGCACAACCAGAACCCATTTTATTGGGTTAGCCAAAAAGTTCATTTGGGTTTTTCCGTAACAGAACTTACAGTCAATCCAATATCTGACGCCTCATTCCTTGCTCCTTCTATTACACCTCACCAAATATTTGTTGAAGAAAGACTCAGTCTTCATTCAACCAATTGTTACTAAGCATCTAATATATCCTTAACTTGGTGCAGAATTCTGGGTAAGTAGTGCCAAATAAGACTAAAGACCGTGATAGACACAGTGGGGATACACAAAAGAAGTGTAATACAAGGTCCTCACTCTGGAAAAGTCTGTGACCTAATATACAAATAAAATACACACCATTAAAAGAAATGTAAAAATAGAAGTCAATATATGATATATTTAAATAAGTGGTATAAATGAAAATACTATAAAATGTAGAAATGTTATTGAATTTGGGGGCTATTAAGAGAGACTTCACATATTGGGCCTTAATATTTGAGAAGGTAGAAAGAAAATAAAAAGGCTCTACCAAGCCAAAGAAATCTTTAGCTAAATCATGAAGATGGGAGTGTAGAAGGCAAATTACAAATAAAGGAAAAGGAAACATGGGGCTATAATAGAGTATTATGCCATATAGAGCTGGAAAAATAAGTTGGACCATGGTCATAACTAGAACCCAAGTTGCAATGAAATGAATTCTATTATAAAGGATACTGTATTTATTCCTGTGAGCCCTGGGGAACCATGAAACTTTCTAAGTCACATAATAAGGATGTGTACTAGATGCATTGTTTGAAAACTGAAACTGAAGTGAAGGAGATTAGAAGGCTATTAAAAAGGGACATTTGTAAGCAAACCCACCATAATAGGAGGGATAAGCGCTTTACAAAAAGTATCTGTAAATGCACAGACCAAGAATAGCTTCTTTTTTAAAAAAGAAGAGAAAAGATAGGGCACCATCAGTTCTGAAGATTCATTACAAAGTTTCAGAATTTATACTTTCAGACATGAAAATTCATTACAGTATATGAGTTACTAAGATAGTGTGGTATTCTTCAAGGATAGACAAATAGAAAAATAGAATAAAATAGAGATTCCAGAAATAGTCACATATACATATGGTTCCTTGATTTGTGACAAAGGGAGTAACTACTAATGTGGTCTCTTGTAACTATGGTAAGGGTTTAACTATTGCTGGTGGACTTCGAAGATTCACAGACAGGAAACTAGATATTGATGGGAAGGTTGTCAATCATGGAAAAAATGGTGCTTAATATATGACTACATATGAATACAATAAAATTCTAGGATTAGTAAATAAATGGCTTCAAGTTATAGTGTATTCCTGTGAATCTTGTATTTAAATATTTTCATACAAGTTGAAAGAACAGGGTATAACCTCCACTTGATTTCAACAATTGTTAACAGTTTGCTATATTTAATCTCTCTCTCTAAACACACACACACACACACACACATACACACAATTCTCGTTCAACCAATTGAAAGCAAGCTGCTAACACGACACTTTCACGTCTAATATTTTAGCACGTCTTAAGAATTACATTCTTCTATATATCCATAATAACATAGTTCCACAATGTTCTTTTTTGCTCGTTGCAATTGTGTCTTAATTCCCCCTTTTTCCTGGATATAATCCAGCCTTTAGGAATTTTTGCAGGGGGTGATCATTGGTTTTTGCATGTCTGAAAAAAACTATTTTATCTTCATTCTTGCAAGGTATACCACTCTAGGTTGAAGTTACATTCTACAAGCACTTCATGATACTATCCTCCTTTATCCCTTTTTTGTTGTCAGGACGTTTGCTGATTGTGATCGTTAATTTTACGTGTCAACTTGACTAGGCAACAGGGTACCGAGAGATATTTGCTTAAACATTATTCCGGGTGTGTCTATGAGGGTGTTTCTGGATAAGATTTGAATCAATAGACCGAGTAAAGCAGATTGCCTGCTCCAATATAATCTAATCCACTGAAGGCCTTAATGGGACAAAAGGCTGAGTCAGAGAGAATACGCTTTCTGCCTGACTGTTTTCTAAGACATCCATACATGTTTCCCTATCTTCAGACTCAGACTTGACTGGAACTTACATTATCAGCTCTCCTGCTTCTCAGGCCTTCAGACTTCGACCAGAACTATACCATCAGTTCCTGGGTCTCCAGCTTGCTGACTACAGGGCTTGGAATTTCTCAGTCTCCATAAAAGCATGAGCCAACTTCTTATAATAAATAAACATACATCTAGACATATATATTGTCTTCATCTGCATCTAATCTGCTGTATAAGCTATACACCAAGTTGTAATTTCTAATTATTACATTTTTCAGTTTTAGACAATCTGGCTCTTTTTCAAGTCTGCTTCATTGTATTATAGTATCTTATTCCTTAGTTACACATAATTTAAATATACTCATTTATTCTTTTCAAATATACTAAACCTATGTTTCTAAATGCTATATAAGTAATTCCAATATCTGAATTCTTTATACTAGTCTGATCCTGTTATTTATTGTTTATGTAGAATCTCTCTCACGGTAGCTTATTTCCCTGCATGTTTTATGATTCTGGGTTGTAAGCTCATGTTTTTTAAAACTTTTTCCTTGAAATTATGTGAGACCTGACTTAAAGTATTTTCCTCTACACAGGCTCTGAATTTGCCTCTACTGGGTGTCTGGGGAACTACCAAATTCGTTAGCTTTAAGTTCTCAGCATGGAATTTTTCAGACTAGACAGACTACAGAGCTGCAGACCTGTGTGAGGTTCCACTTTTGGTAATAAATGATCAGGACAGCCCTTTCCTCTTTACCACCCAAGGCAAGGCCAAGACTGGCAAGTATTCTTACTGTCTTCCTTTGAAGGTTAGAGGTTGCCATATTACCCATTGAACAGACTAAAACTTATGCTGATTTCCCAACTTGAGTGGGTCCGAAAAGTTTCTTTCCTTGTCTGCAGATCACAGCTCTTTAAAACGAAAGTTGTGAGTCACTAAGGAACCCAGGGAAGCCTCTGAGTACAGTACTCACCTGCCTCTAGATACGTGGTTTCTCATTGTTCTGGGTTTATGAAGTATTCTCTTATTTGCCAATACAAACATTCATTTAAAAAGAGTTTTGAAAATACTTTATCCTACCTTTTAGGGTGCTGTGTACTAGTATAATAGAATTGTTAATTGACTATACCCAGCACAATGGTGCTGTCAGCTTTAGCCTGTGTTTGGCAGTTGGTCTCTGAGGCTCCCACCTGTAAAGGCAGTGAAAACGCAGCACGATAACTAGTCCGTGCTTCAGTCTTGTTTACCAAGATCAAGCTAGGTCGCTGAGTCTAGCCTGGTGACTGTCCCTGGCTGCTTGGAGAAGCTACACAGACATCGTTTGTAACTGTGCACCTCCGGAACAGGCCCAGAGACAAACTTTTGTGAGGTCTGTAACAAGAAGGAGCCTGCCACCCCGCACAAAATTAAGCATGGCATCCTGGTTGGTGTTTTTGTTCATGAAAGGGTAGTGACCTTGCTGGTTTCCTGTGCTGCTGCTTTCCTTGCCGCTGTTGCTTGTGCTCTCCTGACCCCCAGGGTTATCGAGGTGCACATCCATGGTGGTCTGTGGCCCAGGGGCTGATGGAAAAAAAAAGGGAACAGGAGGAAGGAGCATTTGGTACTCGACTGCTCTCCCAATGTAAATCCCATAGCCAATGCACCTAGGCTTTGCCTAGCACTCCTGCTTTCCAGAATACCAAAGGGCTAAGCTTGCAATCATGGGCCTTATGGTCTCCATCCAAGTCATAGGCAAAATGACTCTACTAGATGTGGACTCTTATCCCAGGGATACTGTCATTCCCTGGAGGAAGAGATGCTCACTGATGAGGGAGGCCATTAAGCTCCTGAACCTTCCCCATAACCACCCAGAAGGTCTGCACCACAGGTGATAGTGCAGACACAGCTGAAAACTTCAACTTTACATGGCTAGAAACCCAAAATATTCCCAGGAAATTTGTACAGAGGAAAAAAAAGAAAAACAAGACAGGAAGCCCACATGATAGGAAAGGGACTGTAGCAGAGGATGGTTTTGATCCATCACGTCTGGGCTGTAGGCCCAGCACTTCTTCCCGCACCACTCTGCTGCTTACGTCTGTTGCAACAAAGATTCTAATTCTCGGGATTATAGGGAAATACTCATGGTGCCCTTGTGGTGCCAGATTCAAACCCAACCTAGGCCCAGCGTCTTTAGATCATATAAATCAACCATTGCTAACTGTCAATACTAATTTGAGGGTCTCTGGAGGAAGCAACTTATAAATATAATCAGGGTAGAAAGGATTTCCGCCCCCACCCCCAAGTATATCCAGTGACCAAAAACGATAATAAGATAAACAAAATAAGGAAAGAAAGAAACCTGGATACAGGGAGGAGGACACTAAGAAAACAACAACCTAAAACAAAGGCCCACAGTTTGACCCAATTGAAAATACAAAATTTACTGAACGAATTTATATAGCAAATGATGAAGGTTCACTGATTGCCTTCTGTGCCTCTCCATAGAGGCTTTGAATTAACTCTAATATCTGCTGAAATTCACCAGGTGGCAAACATTTATGGCTTTAACCAATACTAGGGCTAAAATTACAATTATACCTGGGAGTTCCATTAATTTAAACATCGTATCCCCCATAATGGGGTATTTACCTATGGGAGTTACTGAATATAAAAGAGGACAAATAGATATGCTTCACCTTAACCATCAGAACTTTGTCTTGCTTAAATTCCCCATGGTTATAGCACTCATCGCTCTAAAATATCACTTGGGCCTGGGCATGGATACTCTGACCCAATGAAAAATAAATGAAAATTAAATTAAGTCTTTGACACTTACAAATTGGTTTGACAAAATGAGAACCCATGACCTTCCCCACCCCTTCCCCCAGTTAAAATAGTTAACATGACTCAAGGTAATTTAAAACAGGGTCTTCCAGTATTAAAACTTGTTTTATAAGAGGAACTGAGTGAAGGGTTGTTATTCCCACTGTTTCTGCATTTAACAGCCCTATTTGGCCTGTTAAACCTGAAACAAAAGAATGGTGCCCCATAGTGGATTGCTGCAACTGTAAAGCCATGGTCCCATCCCATTAAGGCCTCTGTACCCAACAACTTAATTATTAAAATTGCTGACTCCATCCAATCAGCAACCGGTCTATATTTTGCTGCTATAAATTAGGCTAATATGTTCTGTACAATGCCTAGTTCAACAGCCTCTCAGCCACAGTTTGCCTTTACCACTGAAGGGACACAATCCACCTTTAAAAGGATACCCATGGGATACCTCAGCATCCTTGCCATTGCACACAATCTCCACAGGCAAGATCTTAACTGTAACCACCTTTCTCCAGATATGACATTACATCAATGACATCCTCCTCCATGGAGATTTGTTTGACATACTCATTAAAGACATACAAATACTCACAAAGGAGCTCCCAAAAAGGGGATGAACCATTGTCCCACACATAGTGCAAGGCCCTGCCACTTCCATTAAATTTCTGAAAGTTACTTGGTAAATTGAAGGTTCTCTGACATTGTCATGAAACAGGTATTGACCCTCTCAGCAACCACAAGGTCAGTACAAATTCAACAACTTTTAGCCCCTTTTAGGTTCTGGAGGCAACATATTCCTCATTTACAAATTTTACTTAATGTTTTTGATGCTGTTTCTTCTAAATTAGCCTACCTCAAAGGGGACTCCTTCCAAAAAAGGCTCTAGAAATCTGTCCAAATTGAAATCAACAAGCACTCTAGTTTGTGCCCTCAGAGCCCTCTTTACTGTAGCTTTAGCAAGCTCCTCTCTTGCCTCCTGGAGTCTCTGGACCACCTATGAAGGTTGTAAGTTGCTCATGGACTTCTGATGCAAGAAACTGCCTTTCTCAGCCTGGCACTATACACCATCAGGATAGCCACATACTGGCCTCTTCTGGAAATAGAAGCTATCACAAACCTTGAGCCTGCAACCCTCTGTGCCCAGCTACCCACTATGCCTTGAGTTATCCAAGCAGCAGTTCAACAGCTTGAGGCATGGCTCCTGAGCCTTCCTTGCTACAAGATGGAGTCACACCTGGGCCTTCTAGCACATTTCCTCTGTTGGAGGGGGTGGCCTCCCCTGTTCTCAGTCCCTTCACTAATACCACTATGCTAGAAGAGGTCACCCCTATCCCAGAGTCCTTTGATACCTGGGGAGCCTTTTGGGGATCAACTGAATGGACAGCAATGGAAGTTTGTACACTTTACTAATGCTGGTGCTGCCATGATAAATGATGGAGCTCGGAGGAGAGCTACTCCTTCTCATCATTTAACCAAAATGTCCCTGATAAAAGACAGGACCCAAGAGTCAGTACAACTGGCACACTTCAGGCAATCGACATTTGATGCCATCTACACATTTTTACAAATTCTTAGGCCATGACCTAAGAGTTGCCCCCTTTGGGGTAAAGAACTCCAGGAATCTCTTGCTCCACAGTTACTCAGAATAAATCAAGGTAACAAATTACTCTACATATACTAAGGCCACGATACAAGTCCTCTGCAGGATGCTCTGTATCCTCTTTGGAGTTCTAGATACTACCAAGAGTGACCAAGACACTCATTTCACTTCCAGCATACACAGTGCTGGGCTCTTGAAGAAGACATTCAGTCAAATTCCCACCTCCCCTGGGGCCCCAGGCAGTCAGCTCCAGGCAGCTGGTGAAACTGAGAGGCTTCATGGGTTTCTTAAAGAATTCCTATTTGTCACAAAGTGGAAAATTCTTGCTCACCTCCTGGAGATACCTACTCCTTACACCAATGCCACATGGACCTCTCAATTGCCTTTATTGATTGCAAATGGGGACACCTCTAAAGTTCCTGGTCAGGTGCCTACTTTGTTCCCTAAAAGTCTCAGTCATCACCAAGGTTTAAACTCATGTCAAGGGATCAAGGGGTCACTTGTGGCACAAAACCAAAAATTAAGGATTAGTATAATGTGGTGCCTTGACATTTGATAAAATAGGTCTCGAATGGCCTAACCCAAGTTCCCTTTCCCACTCAGTTCCCATGGGTAACGTCTCCTAGCCAAACACCCTTCTTATTAAAGGCATCAGGCACAATTCCTGCTCATCTCTGAGTAGCAGAATTATTCAAACAAGCCAATCATATCCTCCCACAGGAACCAAGAAGCACCCCACCCTTACTACTGCAAAGCCTGCCTCTCACAGCCCTGGTTGTTCACTTTGTTCCCAAGTGTATCCCCTATGTGGCCCTGCATGGTGTCCTCTTCCCCAGGCTGTGAGTATATATGATGAATAAACTGCTGTCCATTTCATCTGATCTCGCCTGTCCAGTGCCAGGTGTCATGTATTTAGCCATCCCCATAACCCTAGGGTGGGAATCCCTCTTTCACCAATGGGGTAAACAGGAGTCAATTTAAATACCCTACCACCAATACCACTTTCCTTTCCCTCTTGAAAGGGAACGGTAAGTATAAGGAGGACAAGGTATCAGGTTCACGTATATTTTGTGCCCATGCTGACCCTCACTGAGTTGCAGCTTGTCCTGTTTCATCACTGTACACTGGGATCTACTGCTGCTATCTCAGGTACAACTATAACCTCAACTAGAGGTAAGTGCAGCTGTATCCTCTTTGTTCCAACCTCAGGATATTTAGGGTCCACGGCCTATTTAAAGCACTCTGTGTTCTTCTTGAGGTCATTTCAGTCTCTCCTGCACCCCTCTGAGGGCATGGGAACTCCACGAAGCAGCACTCAGGCCCATCTGCTGAAGCTCACCATTGCTTCTCTTTCTAAGGTTATACAGGATATGGAGCTTCTTTAAAATGCTCAGTTTCCCTGGGAATTAAGACCTAGTCCTTTCTACACTTGGATTTCCTAACCCCATTCAAATTTCTACTGCTTAAGCCTCCTCTGGCTCAACTCAGTGAGTCCTGGGCACCATCCCAAAGACTCAGACATTGCCTAGGGTCTCCTCACATCTTGAATTCTTCTCCTACCAGCTAGTTAGTGATTCATTTCCCTCCCAGAAATACCAAAAGGAACTCTTATGTCATCATATACTCTCTCTCACTCTAAGGTCTGTTCTCAGTCTCTAGTCTCAGATGGCTCAAAAAAAGCTTTTGCTCTCAAAAAGTCAAGTTATTTTCTAGAGATAACTTTGACTTGCAAAACTTTGCTCTTTGTTTTCATTTTAAAAAGCTAATCAAAAAGTTAAGCAAACTTTTAACCTAGATAATGTATATGACTCCTCAGTGAATAGTCTCTATAGAAAGCATTAAAGGAAGTATAAAGGAATAAAGAAACCTTAGTTGATAATTAAAATAATTATCATCTATATGCATTTAAAACAGCTACTCTTAGTAGAGTCCTTACTTAGCAAGGTAGTGAATTGCTTCATATACATTATTTTATTTAATCCTTATAACAAATGTCAGAGATACAGAAGGCGGGGAGGATTATCTCCATAATTCAAATGAGACAACTGAAATTTTGTCTTCCAAATATTAGGAACTGTCTCTAAATTACGATCTAAAGCCCTGTTATGTGTGATTCCAAAACATGGTCTTTTAATTATTTCATTAT